ACCATAACAGTAAAGTTGTGGACTGGATGAGCTGAAATTGCTATAAAGCTCAGTAGAACAGAGGAGGAGCTCTAGTTATAGTTGATAATTCTCTGTAGGTTCATCACTACGAGCGACCTCTTTCACACTGTCATGTTCTTTTCACATTGACATTTGATACATAGTTATTTAAATCACTGAACAATTTGGAGACGTGGACAGTGTCTCAGAGGACTAAAACCAGCCTACAGTTTTTTGTCTATAAATTAGAAATCTATAAACTTCGTTCAATGTGTTGATGTCTTTGGACAGCATTTACCAACAGTTGAAAGACACAGCTGCAAACATGTCTTCATTCATACTGATATTCTTGTTTACAACAAAGTGAAGACAGGATGTTTGAGCACTTCAGGGTCTTGTGCACTCAGAGAGAATAGGACATATCATATGCCAGCAGCTACAAAGCTCGGGGCAGACCTAGGGCATACTGCATGAATTAAAGGAGCCTGGGCCTCTTTGTAGGGGACATGAAAAGGATCAATGCTGAGTGTGAATGGCAATCATCTTGCCTTGGGCCAACAAAGTTCAATCTTCTTATTAAGAATTCAGCACCAATTTTTCACAACAAGACAAAACAACTATTTCTTATATTCAGTTTTCCTTGATGCCACTTGTTTTGCCTCACATTGGGAATGACTCCTGTGTGAACTCAGAAGATTATAATACTCTGTATCAGGCAGCATAGGGTTAAAAAACTGGGTTAGCATGACCATTAGCAACCAGAATGGCTCAATAAAGGCCAAACTACACCAATGAAGTTACATCAAACAGAACAGACATTTATTAAAAACTGTGCAAAACACCACTGTAATATCAGCTATGTAATAGATGGAGGAAAAAAGAACCTAAGATATTGTAACTTTGGACAAAGTTATACTAAAGAGAAAAGCTAAATGGCTGCTGCAGTGGAACAGAAGAAGATTACAGGGAAATTATTTTAAAAAATTCCATAGAAATGTGTCATTTTCCCCTTGACCCTCTCTGTCACACACATCTATCACCACTGACAAAGATAAGGCATGGACAGATGAATGGATGGATGGATGGATTAGTGAGTGGAGGGAGGGTTACACGTGAATGGATGGATGGAGTAGCAGGTAAATGAATGCATAGCAGCCAATATATACAGGTTTCCCATTTACAAATGGATAAAGATGCACATGCAATGGAGAGGTAGAAAACTCAAACTGCTATTATGAAAGCTTATATATGGATATTTTCACTATCTGGGAAAAGGGTAACATGCTGAAAAAACGGTAAAATACATGTGAACTGTCTGTGAGAACGGGCAGCATGTGTTAAGACTGAAGTAATATTAACATCTAAAAACTAATGTTTGCATAATTAAACGTCTACTGTTTACCATTGAAATATATCAGACACTAGATATATGTATCTGCAGTGTTTCCAAAAGCTTCACTCACATCAAAAAATGCAGGTGTGTAAAGTATTATTTAGCAGCCACACATGATCATGAAAAGAGAGTCTGCACACATTAAATTCAAATTCAACACTGAAACTCTAAACGCCCATCAAACTGACAAACCAAAGTATTGATCATAGAGTTTGACTGTTGCAATATTCATTAAACAGCTATTAACAGCCAGTAACAGTGTGAGCTGTCTTAGACCTTAAAATAAACATTTCTTCCTCAACAGTTTCTGGGCAAAACTATCCATCATCATGTTAAAATCCAGAACCGTGTCTTGATCACTCGATGCTAATAGCTAATTATACACTCTGGGTTAGAAGGAATGTGTCCTTTTTGTGATATTAAAAATTTTCCACGGATTACTTTGCAATTTGTGCAGTTTATTGCACTTTTCATGTTAATATCCATATAACATATCAGTCATTTTAGTTTGTTTTCTACCCTATGGTTTCTCACAAGACATCAATTGGAGACGTGCCTATAGTGAAACAGTGATATAGTGAGACAGACTTAACTCAACTGCCTCCTTGGCCATCCTAATGTTGTTTTCCCGCTGTCCAATATATCGTTAGTTTATATTCTTTACCTTGTTTCTCCTATAATTCACTGTTGATGACTGTTACCAAGGCAGAACATTTATAGTGATTTGCAAAATGTGTAAGCAGCGTGGGTGTCAAGGTGAAACATTACATCAATTCTTGTAAAGTTGACATATATAAGAGAAGATTCATTGTTGAACCTTGGCAGCATATGGTGATAAATGTATCAAACTGTGCATTTTTATATAAAATTATACGCATTTTATCTATGTAAGGCATGTTGTGGCTGCAACTGAGATTAACCTAAAGTTATTATTGTCCCTGTATAAACCCGACTTTTCATGTCAGTGAAAACTAATTCTGAAAAAAGTTGCTTTTATCTCAGTGTGCTGGAACTGGGCGGGTAAAAAGGACATACACAACATATGAAGGTTTCCTTATAATAGCAACAACAACATACAATATATAAGATCAAAGGCGATAAATACATGTACGTTCTCCCATTGGATGCTTCTTAATATAATATGATCCAGTTGGTAGCTTCCCACTAGGATAGGGGGTGCTGTATGTATGGGTGTGTGTGTGTATGTGTGTGTGTTAATAAGAGACCCTGAGACAATGACAGACACCAAGCCCTAATTAGGTTGTCATGCCGAGAGAGCGAGGGAAAGGCAGAAAGAGAGAGAGAGGGAGAGAGAGCTTATTAAGGAGGATAGGTGTCAAGCTCTGGCAGGAAAAGGAGGTGGGAGGAGAGCAGAGGCGGGGGAGGATGAGGGGGAGGGTGATGAAGGAAGGTAAAAGAGAATCGGGTGCAGACAGGGAGAAACAGGAGGAGTGGGAGACAGAGAAAGGGAGGTCGATGGAACTGGAGAAGCAAGAAGCCAGAGAAAAAACCAGGAGATGCAGGAAAAGGAGAGGCAGCTGGTGAGATGAAGGGAGATCAGATTAGGTGTGGGAGAAAAAAAAGGAGTAGGAGGGAGAAGGTACGGAAAAAGGTGCAAATGGAAAGAAAGGGGAGAGAGTGAAGCTGGTGAAGGTACCGACTGTAGAGGATCAAGTAGAGAGGGGAGATGGTGATTTATGGCACAAAACAAGAGGGGAGCTGTTCTTCTAGTGCAACCAGCTTGTAGAGTTTCAATAGCAGATGATGGAAGGAGTGAAACAAAGATGGACTCTCACTAAACTCAATATGTGGATCCTCTTTGGTTCAAGAATAATTCCTGTTTAAAAATTGGGTCTTTCTTAGTTTTGGCTATCATTCAGTTATGACGATATACTCACTACGTAATTGCTGAGATTTGAGAAAACTGAACATTACTACAATTAAGTGCAGTTGTCAGCAAACCAAGAGTTTAGCATGATTATCAAAACTGTTATATGTGGACGTAAAGTGAGCAGTTCCAAGTATTGTAAGTTAAGGTTGAACCAGGAAGTCTTTCTGTAAACTGGGATGGATGTTTACAAAAGGTAATAATTTTCTTGTCTTGCTTTCTTTTCCCAACATGTTGTTTAGAGAAATATCACAAGATGTCAGAAATAATAAAATGTAATTCATGTAAGATCCAAGTTGAGTGTACAAGTTCATTCTTGACCTTGAAAACAGCCCCCAATGAAGGAAAATTAAGACAATCAATGAATCTGATAATTGTGTCCATTCTGATTATCTGTCATGGGCAAACACCAAGAACCCCACTGAAGTCTTTAAAATAAACTTAAATTCACATAAACTCAACATAAATCCTTTCAAAAGCTTAGTCTTACTGAAAATAAACACACAAATTAGCTGGGTTAAAGAACAGCTGAGTTTTCCTTTAAGGTTATTACGTTAAAACAAACAAAAAGAAAAAAAAATCATGGTCCAGGGTTACTCGAGAGTAAGCGGGAAAATGTTGCGTGACTATAGGCAAAATATTTACTTTTTACAGATTTACAAGGGGGCATATTTTAATTCAATTTAATATGCACACACACACGCAGGTAAACAAGACTGTAAGCCTTGTTCTAGGCTACAAAGCCAACTAAACACACAAGTCAAACTAATTCACACACACACACACACACGTGTATCCCTAAAGGGCCATGACTCAGGCCAAATTCTGCTGTGGTGCCAACAGCCATATTGTAAATATTCAATTTACTAAAATGGCAGCATTCCATATAACTAGCAGGGCAAATATGCAGGTGCACACACACACACACACACACACACCTGCAATATCTAGAAACATGAGCAGTGCTTGGATATTCTAAACAGACCTCAGCAAATGTAATGAAGTAATGATGGAACCGTTTTTGAAGATAAACTCCTCATGTGCTGCCGACTGACCAAAATAAATAGCAGCTTATACTCTTGCTGAATATCTCAAAATATTGATAAAAAAATAGCTATATTTTTTAAAAAGAATTTGTTTGTGTTTTGAAATATTGATTACTGAGGCCATGGGGCATTATTTTCTCAAGACGGATACTGAGTAGTTTTGAATAAAACTTCACATTCTTTTTATTCAAATACCAAAAACTGTGCTGCGTTTTGCCCCTGCCATGGAAATGGGTAGAGGCAGAACTCAGAAATCTATTCCAAGGTTTTTCCCATGTGATGAAATCAACATTACTACTTAAGCAACTCTAGGAGCACCTCTGCATGTCAGAGTCAGGACAAAAATATTTAGTCTGCATGCTGGTAAAGTCCTTGCTGTGTTTATTTAGTCTCATGAAGCAAATGTGATGTGGCTGGAAGTAAAACTTCAAAATAAAGTCTGTGTTTCACTCAGTGTACTTTGACCTAGCTCCCATCTGGGGAGAGAAGCAGTTATCAACGATGCATCCGGCTAAACCAGAAATAAGCCCGAACCGTGCTTCCTAGCAGAGTCTAGGTTACTGCCCAAACTCACATTTAGTAATTTTACTTCAGGGTTAACTCATGACAGCCTCAAGCAATTGGTCAAAATGAATTTAGAACAGCCCTATGTGAAGCTGTGTGCTCAGTTTACCTTAGTACACAGGTGTAAAATCCATTGTCTTCCACTTCAGCAGATCTGAACCAGATGGAGTCGTCTTCTTTACTCAGCCTATGACCCGAGAAGATGATAGGCTCCTATAGGACACAATGCAAAGACAATATTAATGAAATAATGATATTAGTGTTTGAAGTAAAAATATTCCCTCTCTACCTGGTATTAACACTGGTTATAGAATTACAATCATATAGAGCAGAAAGGGATACCGTTAAATGTAAAAGCACCCAATATGTGTTATGTGAAGGTTCTATCCATATGACTCAGGTTTCTATATGCTAGAGATGCATATTACATGTATTGTCACATATAAATGTAATCCAGCCAAATCCTGTGTTACTAGTCAGATAGAACTGCTGGGAAAGGGGGACAACGTTTTATTATAGCACATGGGACCACAGTATGATTTATCAGTCCCTCTAGTTTCTGTGTTTTGGCCATTACTCAAACACAAGCAAGCCCAAAGAAAGAAACCGTCAGATTCTTGGTGTGGATCCAAATTACAGAATATTTACAGTATGTACAACATAATAATATACATTATAGTAGACTGTATATGCAAAAATAAACATACTTAATAATCTTTTATACATATATGTATACCCATACTAATAATAGATGTTTACCTGCTGCTCGTGGCCGATACCTATAAGATAATGGATAATTTCACATTTTTGTATTTTAAAAAGAAGTTCATAACCTTTATGCACACTTGAGGTTACCAAAGGTTAGGATGTAGTGAGCAAAGATGATTTAAAATTGTGTTAAAACTTGCAGACATTTTCCCCTCCTCTTGAAGTCCTTGTGGAACATATATTGCAAGCAGCAATCCTGTTGTCTTCCTCAGAAACTGAAAACATGCACACTAACAATTGTTAAAGTGTAACTAAATCCCTAAATTCTGCTAGCTCCCTCCCATAAAAAATGCAGCAGAGCGAATGGCCAGAGTGACAGGCGACAGACTGTCACTCTCAGTTAACCAGGTATGAGCAGCTGCTGTCAGACTTGCCTGAGCTTTGTGGTACCAGTGTTGTAATGTTTGCTAAACTAGTGGCTGAAAGAGGCTAGCTCTCTGGTGTTTGTGGGTCAGGCTACGGCTACGTGTTAGGACACAGTCTGCAGAGGTAGGTTGTGTTTTATAGGGGCGGGCGGGGAGGTGGGGTCTGTTGCCACCATATACACCACCTGCCTCCAGATCAGCAAATAGAGATGTTCCTTTATTGATCCACCATGGAAGAAATTCAAGGAAAATATTGAAATTCAAACCAGTAGGTGGGAGATCACTATGCATATCTGTAACTCCAATTATGAAAGTAAAGTGATACATATATAAATAGCGTAGCTAGTATGAAGGCAACATTGCTTTCATTGACTTAAAAAGTAACTTAACCCCCAAAACATTTTAGTGGAAAGTATTTGAATTCTACATATTGTGCTATACATAATAATGAACATTTTCCATTATTAGCCGATAATTTATCGACCCAATATATGATTCTGCATCCCTAATATAGAGTGTATATTATATGAAAACATATATATATGTATTACAGTGTATATACACTGATCAGCCATAACATTATGAGCACTGACAGGTAAAGTGAATAACACTGATTATCTGGTTATCATGGCTTTCAGTGGGTGGGATATATCAGGCAGCAAGTGAACATTTTGTCCTCAAGCTGTCGTGTTAGAAGCAGAAAAAATGGGCAGCGTGAGGGTTTGAGCGACTTTGTCAAGGGCCAAATTGAGTATCTCCAAAACTGGAGCTCTTGTGGGGTGTTCCTGCAGTGGTCATTACATATCAAAAGTGGTGCAAGGAAGGAAAAGCTGTGAACCAGCGACAGGGTCATGGGCGGCCACGGCTCACTGATGCACCTGGAAAGTGAAGGCTGGCCCATGAGATCCAATCCAACAGACGAGCTACTGTAGCTCAAATTCCTGAAAAGGTTAATGCTGGTTCTGATAGAAAGGTGTCAGAACACACAGTGCATCCCAGTATGTTGGTTATGGGGCTGCAAAACATTATGACCACCATCATCATATGAATGTTTTGGGTATTTTGAGTATACTTTGTTTTGTTGTACATTACATACGATATGTATTGAACTTAATGGAAGATTATCTGTCAGGAGAAATCATGTTTTTACTTACTTCCACCTGACATATGTTTTTTTTCCCATGAGTCTCCAGGAAGATTCTTCTAGTAAATAAATTTCATGAATCCCTGCAAGGATCTCCCATGGGCGTTAGATGGCCATGCAGGTCTGTCATAACAGGGCTGTTCTGTGTCATTAAATATGGCTTATGGTGTTGAATATAAAAATAAGTTGTTATTGATTTGTTAACTATAAAATGAAAAATATAAGCACCACATAAGATAAATTACAATTGAATATGATTGTTTCAGTTTATCATTGTCAGTGCTGGACTTCCAAACACACCTCCCTCCCACTGTTTCCTACCTCAACAGCGATTATTCTGAGTGATCTTACCTCTGCGTCTCCTTTGTTCTTGTACCAAATGAGGCGCAGCTTGGCGTTGGTGGCCATAGTGTAGTTAGTTCGAATGTAGCTGTAGAACAAGGCACATTTCACCCGAACAGGCTCACCGGCCAGAACATGGTACTCCTTCAGATCCACCGACCAGTCTATGCATCCATCCACTGTGAGGAGAGAAAAAGAGAGATGGAAAAATAGTGAGAATGTGTTGATAGAAACACTGTTTATAGGCCATTATACAGACGTCAAATGTGTCGCAGCTTTTAACTGCAAGGGGGAGAAACATTGATGGAAACAGAGAATATAACAGAACTCAAATAGGTTTGGAAGCAAAACATGAACAATCATCAAAAACACTGACTTTATGTAAGATATAAAACTATTCTTTATACAGAAGGAATGCTTTGCAGAGAGAAAGAGTGACAGAAAATGAGAAACAATGAAAGAATGTGAGTGACAGGGAGATTGTTTTATCTTGTTTCTTTGGCAATATTGTTCTTTACCTTCAAGTCAATAAAACGTTGAATATAAATTTGAAAGAGTGTGCGTCTATTGTGAGCATGTTGGAGGGGGCAACGGCGCAAAGATTAAAAGCGATAAATGTTATACTTTCTATAAGTCAAAGGCATAAACAGAGGGAGTTGCATGAAGAAAAAGTGTAGGATTTGCAAGTGAACATCTGATGTTTCCATAATTTATATACTGCATTTCCCTATATATTGCTCGAAACTGGAAGAGAGAGAGAGAAAAAGCAATAATTGAAGAAAGAGTGATAGAGACAATAGAGATTCAAAGAAGAGGTCAAGACCAAATGAAAAGAGAAAAAAATAAGAGAGGAAGTGTGCGGCGGTGGTGTCGGGTTGAGATCAGGTCAACCGGAACGAACAGAAAACAAGTTGTAGATGGAAGACAAGTAGGAGCTGGTGAGACGTAGAGGTCAGGACGGAAAATGACAAGGAGCTTTCCCAAATGGACTTTCCTTCTCCCCCCACCAATCCTCTCCCTCTCCCTCTCTGCCCCTTCCCTTTTTTCTTTTCTCTGTTCTTTGCTCCTCTGACTTCTTTTTTTTCCCTCATGGTCTGAGGATAGATGTGCTCTGTTTTAACTGAAGCCCTCAGGCGCTTGCCACAAGGCCTTCCTTCTGAATTACAGCCTCAACCCTGCAGCGATAAAGCCTCTGGGTCTGTCATCTGCCCAAAAATACTTCCATAGCCTCACTTCATTATTGTTTTCCTCCTGTTTGTTTATTATGTTATACTGGCAATAAGCAAAACAAATACATGTACGAACAGATAATGCGCTCTAAACGAAATCGAACATTATCGTTTTTCCCTGGCACCTGAGTTGCCATCTCAACAAACACACACATCACACAAACACTACTAACTCACACTGGTGTCAGGATCTTGGATGTACATTGTTTGATACATTGATTGTTGTCAGTAAGTAATCTAATTGATTTTATAGAATTTTTGATACGACTAGTGAGCTATAATGGGCCATTATTATAAAGGGCCATTATAGCTCACCATTATTAATGGCCTATTTTTGTACAGCATTCACTCTCTTTCTTTTTAGATCATGTTATTTTCACCTGAGTCTTCCCCTATTATAAACAGCAATCATGTATATCCTGATCTGGTATTTTCCAACAAAAACTTTTCTATTATGATTATTAATTTCCTCAGTTTTCTTTCTTTCTTTCTTACTTTCTTATAGGATTAAATACAAATCATGTTTTATTATTTGATGAATATTATGTTATAGCATACGTATCATGTTTCTGTATTTCTTTGGTACCTAATACATATACATAGAAGGAGTATAACAATTAAAATGGCAGTAGAGAGCAATTTAACAGTGGTTAAACAGAAGTGGTCTGGACAATAACTACATCCGGTATAAGCCCCGCTCACTTTTTTCTTTACACCTGAATACAGATATTTTTCGCATAAACAGATACATTTAGTAGCTTTGTGTCACACCCCTATATACCCTGATGTGGCTACATGAAAATAGCATTAAGCACCTTGTATAGTTCCCCCCCGCTAAAATCTCACTCAGAAGTCAGACATTCCTCACCGGATGTGGATTGTTATCATGGCTCCCACTGTAAGTCAATATAAACATGTTTTAGCACTCTGTAAAATATGTCAAGTGTAATTTGTGTTGAGTCAAGTCTTAGCAACGATTTAAAGACTTGATTTGCATGAGTTTGCAGCGCAAATTTACAACCAGGCACTTAATTGGTTACATTTATAGATTTAGCAATATGTATTAAGTCATACAGAGGCAGGAGAGATTTACCGTAGTATCGCTGTACGCACACACACACACACACACACACACCTAAGCTGATTTATTGCACACACAATCACTCTCTCACCCTCTCAAATGATTTAGTACTCATCACATCACTCACTATCTCTCTCTCTCTCTCTCTCTCACACACACACACACACACACAGTGTCCATCAGCAGTCATTTAATCATTGACGAGGTTGCCAGATATTCAGAAGACTACAGTCATAAAAACTTTGTGTGCGTTTCAGCATATGTGAATGTGAGTGTGTTTTGAAGTTTGCATGTGTATGAGAGAGACTTAACTGTTTTGAATGGTAATGGAAATGTGCGTGTGTGTGCGTGTTGTGTGTGTCTGTAGGTGTGTGTTGAAAATTAAGTAGGCCTAATGAATAGACCAGCCTGACTTGGTGGTTGTAAATTAATGAGCTGACACAAATTGAAGGTGTGAATGCAGTACATTCAACACCTAACACAGAGGATCACACACACACACACACCCACACACACACAGACACTTACACAAATACACACACACGGATGCACCCAGGGCATTACATTAATAGAAAATCACATTAGTTTGGTCTACTGGACTAATGCCTTTTGTTTTAGACAATGTTTAACACAGGTCAGACACATGCCCACATACACACACACACACACACACACACACACACACTCGTTCACCTATACACACACAATCACATGAGAATGACAGAGACATATTTAGCTGCAGGTCATAACCAAAGCAAACTCCCAATAATTCATTCATCGCTGCTGCTACACGTGCTTGTGCATGTGTATTAATCTATGTAGGTGCATGACTGGGTGTATGTATATAAGCCTGCAGTATGAGTGTGTATGGGCGAGTGCAGCTGTGTGTCTGTAGACATATTAAATGTGTGGGCGAGGTGTTAGCATGAGCAGATATATCATTCCCGTCAGCTCTATCTGCATATGGATGCTCCAAAAGAGCCGAATGGAAATAATCCTGGATAAATGGCAAAGTTTCAGAGTTTGGAAAAGTGCAGAGAGTTTTTGGGCAAAACACAAGCACGTTTGGATGCACACACATACACATACAGTGACAAACCTAAATATTGAGTTAGATGACTTTTTTCTTTTGGCTGAAACTATTTTGTCCTCAAGGTTTCTCAAGGAATGAATCTTAAGTGAAGATGTAGCCTACTAGCAAAAACGCAGAGAATAAAAATAATTTATCTTCTCTGTGTATTTGATCTTTAAATAGAATGTAGCAAACTATGCTTTGAGGAGAATTAAATGGCTGGATGTGTTTGCCAAAAACAAATTTAATAAGTTTTATTTAGTGATTCTTGAGTGTTTTTTAAAGCAAACAAAATTGCCTAAAACAAGCTAAATAGAATGGATCTTATTCTGCTCTTTTTTAGCCTATTGATACTATATTGGAAATTAAATTATGTCTGGTGGAATGTTTTACTTAAAATCTTTGAGGCAGAAAGAGAAAAAATTTTTTTTCTAGTGGTTATAATTTTTATGCAAGCTTCTAGAAGGATAACTGTAGACTTATTTGAATATCATACTTTGTTGATTATACTGTCAGATCGTGAAATGAAGGGTGAAGGGGTGCAGGAGCTACAGCAAATATCCAATGGAGACACAAGGCTTATAGCAGAGGGGCAAGTGACCACATAGTCGCATAGTAAAAGTGATACCCATTCAGTGGTGGTATGCTCCCTAGGAGAACATCTTTAAAAATAATTACAAAAATTGTGCATTCTCGTTGCCTTTCTAATTTGTCAAAAAAAGGAGAAATCACTTAGGTGTAAATAGGACACAATTTTTACACTGATTGAAATAGTGAGTCGATGACAGAAAGCTGCATCTGCTGTCATAGAGAACTCTAGCCAGTCCCTGTGCACTCCCAGAAAGGGTCATGGGGTGCGTGTGGACACTGACCTCTTTAGACCTGTCTTCTCTTAAACCATTCATGTCAGGCTGAACAGCACCATAAGCCCGGCAGGATGAGGCATTAAGATGAGGGCAAGTAGCAGCCAATGACGCTAACAGCAACTCTAACGACTCAAAAAAAGTGACATCAACATCAACCTTTGGCTGTAAAGTTATTGCTGTTGGGCCAGTCAAACACTCTTTCAAATCCATGGCTGCAAATGAGTGAAAATATAGAGCTACCTCAGTTTTCAAAACTTGAATTCCTGCTAAACTCGTTAAAACATTACATAAGCTTGCAGCTACAGTAAATCTTATATCTCTTGATTTCAACAAAAAAAAATTTTTCAAGCCCTGATGAATGACTAAAGAGACAAATTCTGAAATATGTTACACAATGTGAATCGCATGTAGTGAATAGTTACAGCTGTTATTTAAGACTGTTTTATTTAAGACTGTTGTCTATTGCAGAACTTTCTGATATGTGTTATCTTGTAAGGTGGTCACCTTTCTATTGATGTGTTATGAAGGTGGATCTGATGAAGCGGTGTAATGTCACAGTGTACCAACTGCCACTTGTAGAGGTCGCTGTCCATAGTGCTGAACTGCACAGGGTCGCCTTTCTCCCAGTGTGTGATCGATAACACACACCTTTCTGTGGGAGGTGCTCTACTAACAGCAGTTTGCTCATTGTCACTGGCCCTGGAACAAACTTCTTTCACTCAGAGGACGCTTTTCAGGAAGACTTAAATAACAACTTTTAAACATATGTTGGAGTTTTCCTGCAATATAGTTTATCAGTAATATTGAACACAATAAGCATGTTTTATCATATTTAATAGGCCTAACATTTGTGTAGTTTGTGCAGGGTTGTTCAGGCCTGTCACTCAAAAATAAAGCCCTTCAGAGCCCCCAGCCTGTCTGCACACCTCCC